ACTGTAGTTAGTGGTTACCGCATTGGACGGCACAAACGTAGAGCATTTCTTCCTATCGTCACAAAAAATTATATGGGCAGCAAGGGGTAGAAGCAGAACTGAGACACACATTCCTGCTTTTGTCGGAGATGGGCGCGGGGGCTAGAAGGACAGATTCTGGTCAGCTGAGTCTGGGGTCTGCTTATTCTTTCTCCCTGTAAGGCAGCTGGAGTTTGGGCACAAGCAGTTTAGCTGCCCTGGAGCTGTGTGGTTGAGAGTCAAGGTCAGAGGGGTGAATCCCATGGAAAAGGAGCCACTGTGGATCCCTGGCTTTTTCTCAAATGGGGATTCTCTCCTTTTGGAACCTAAAATATCCTGGGATACTCTTCCTCCATGATGCACATCCGGGTAGCAGAGTTACGTAGAAGATGCTTTCTGGGCAGGGGGTTTGGGGGTGGCAGGGTGCTTGCAATGTCCAGCACAGGCCAACCGTCAAAAGCTGGATGGGGCGTTAGGATGGAGGGATGGGGAGCAAGGAGGGTCAGGAACTAGCCATTCAAAGCCACTCTGCAGAAATCACAGCATCTCCGAAGAAAACCAAACCAAACCAAACCGAAACCCAACCACTTTACGGAGAGGTTCCATGTGTCACTGTTCTAAGCGGTTTACTTACATTATTAGCTCGTTTAATCCTCACGATAGCAAAACTATTAACTATTAACACTCTTCTTTTACAGATAAGGAAACAGAGGTACAAAAGAGGTGAGGTAACTTGTTCAAGGTGACACCACCAGGGAGTGGCACAGCTGGGATTTCAAGCCAGGCTTTCTAGCCCAGAACTGGTACTGTGACCACCGGGCTACACAGCCTCTGAGGAGCTCGCCTTACCCACCCCCATGCCTCAAAGCTCTTGAAGCGGTGGATTCCTGGATTTCCCCTGGAGCTGTGGTGAGTAGTCCCTTGGATGCCATGGTCTTTGGGCAAAGGTGATGTATACAGAGGAAGGGGAGAGGGGCCACCAGCAAAACGAAGCCCGCAGTGTTTCCATGTACAGAAATCTAGGGTGGTTTTGCTTGGCACGGAGCGTGATGTGGATGTGTTCAAGAGGTGACACCATCCCATGTCGATCAGAGCTGGTCGCTTCTTTCAGCACTTAAATGTTATTTTAATTGATTTCGAGTAGCATATGTTATGCTATCTTGCAGTATTTTTGAGTTGCTTCTTGTTTGTGTTTCTCTCCGTGATAATCTCAGTTTAATCTGCATTTCTCACCTGCATTTCTCACCAGGCCATATACAGAGTGACACACTCTAAATACAGTGAATGTGTCTGGTAATTAACACGCTGTCGATATGTGAAATAGTAAACTTCAGTAAATGGTAGCTCACCTACATAGTTACCCAGTACCAGTACTATGTAAGATTTTCCAGATAATGTGTAAAATATATATTTCACACTATTTGTCTATTATTGAAAATGATAATAGATACACTGTTCTGCTTTTTGTGTTGCACAATAGCGCATAATTCCACATTAATACATAATATAGCTCTCCTGTACTTTTAAAAATTGATTTTATAAAATACCTCGAAAATCTCCCAGGCATCTAGAGCCAACCTGTATTTTCTCTCAATCCTGCCATATACGCGTACGTGCCACCAGAGGGCGCTCCAGGGGGAATTCACTGTTTGTGAGGCCTGATAGCGCTCACGCATCGCTCCCCCGCAACCCGCGTGTTTTTACGTAAATACTAACAATTTATCTTGGGGATCTTTCTTTATCAGTACCTAAAGAACATCCTTATTTTATAGCTCCACAATGTCTTATTGCATGAATATGTTATACATACTTAACTAGATTCTCAAGATACTTAAGACTGTTGCAATTTTTAAAATATCTACTATTCATATTAGATCGAAGCAACGATGTATTCAATTAATTTAAATTAATAAATATTTAGGTGGGGCTGATGGGAAATTGCTTGGTGGGTACAATGTGCGTTGCTCTCGTGATGGACCCACAGAAGGCCCTGACTTTACCACGATGCAACATATCAATGTAGAAAATTGTACCCCATGAATATATACAAATCAAAAATAAAT